TGCTATTGTGAATAGTGCTGCAATGAACATACGTGTGCATGTGTCTTTATAGCAGCATGATTTATAATCCTTTGGGTATATACCCAGTAATGGGATGGCTGGGTCATATGGTACATCTAGTTCTAGATCCTTGAGGAATCACCATACTGTTTTCCATAATGGTTGAACTAGTTTACAATCCCACCAACAGTGTAAAAGTGTTCCTATTTCTCCACATCCTCTCCAGCACCTGTTGTTTCCTGACTTTTTAATGATTGCCATTCTAACTGGTGTGAGATGGTATCTCATTGTGGTTTTGATTTGCATTTCTCTGATGGCTAGTGATGATGAGCATTTTTTCATGTGTCTGTTGGCTGTATGAATGTCTTCTTTTGAGAAATGTCTGTTCATATCCTTTGCCCACTTTTTGATGGGGTTTTTTGTTTTTTTCTTGTAAATTTGTTTGAGTTCTTTGTAGGTTCTGGATATTAGCCCCTTGTCAGATGAGTAGATTGCAAAAATTTTCTCCCATTCTGTGGGTTGCCTGTTCACTCTGATGGTAGTTTCTTTTGCTGTGCAGAAGCTCTTTAGTTTAATTAGATCCCATTTGTCAATTTTGGCTTTTGTTGCCATTGCTTTTAGTGTTTTAGACATGAAGTCCTTGCCCATGCCTATGTCCTGAATGGTATTCCCTAGGTTTTCTTCTTGGGTTTTTATGGTATTAGGTCTAACATTTAAGTCTCTAATCCATCTTGAATTAATTTTCGTATAAGGAGTAAGGAAAGGATCCAGTTTCAGCTTTCTACTTATGGCTAGCCAATTTTCCCAGCACCATTTATTAAATAGGGAATCCTTTCCCCATTTCTTGTTTTTCTCAGGTTTCTCAAAGATCAGATGGCTGTAGATGTGTGATATTACAATCTTCATTTTAATAACCTTCAAATTCTCAGCCTCTTCTAATGCTCCTTGTCCATTACTCATCTTCAAACTTCATCTATATATTTTTGAACTTGAAGCTTATCTTCAGCTCTCCTAACATGAGCTAACTACCAGACCTCACTACTAACCACCATGCATTTAGTACTTGCTATGTATCAGCAATATGCTAAATGCTTTACAACGCTGGTTCTCAAAGTGTGGTTTCCTGGCCAGCTGCAGCAGCAGCATCACTAGGAATTGTGAGAAACACAACTTCTAGAGTTCCAACCCATATCTGATATATTGGTAATTCTAGAGGTAGGACCCAGAAATCTGTATTTTCACAGTTCCTCGGGCGATTCTGATGCCTTCTGATAAAGCTCCGATCTCTCTGATTATAAAGCATGTACAATTTCCACTCAACTCCAGGTTTAAACATTTCAAGACTTCATACTTTCAATTTCTACTTTATGTAATCTCTCACTTGCTTCATGGCCCCATAATTTCTACCTTGTTGCTTACTAATTCTAGGTAGACCATGACGTATATTTTATTTCTGTATTTACGTCTTCAGTATTACTGGGAGAGTAATACAATGCTGATAATCTTTTTTATAATAAATGTATATTTTTGCCCCTGAAGCAGGTTCCCATGTGACTTAGTGATTGTTCTTTGCCTTTTGTTGATTCACTATAATATCTCTTAGAACTTGCTCCAAATACTCCCCACATTTTTTTTAAGCTTACAATGCTATTTCTTGTTGACCAACAGATAGCAATAGAAGTCCTCATCTCTGTTTTCCTGAAACAATATATCATTTTCCACTTACTTTCAACCCACTTTAGGATCTCAGTATCTCTCATTTCTATTCCTCTGTTCTTGTTTCTAAAAAACAGGTGACCCTTTTCTTTGCTAAGATTGATTACTTACACTCTTGGTTCACTAGCTCTGTTTTTCTTTTCAGATATTAGTCAATTCTCCCCTTCTTTCACCTGGAACTTCTTTCCCTCACTTTTGGCCCCTTAACCCAATCAGCAAAATATGTTTGGACTTTCCCTTTACTAAAGAGGAACAGCCTTTTCTTAAGTCTGCTATCAGCCATCTACCCTCATTCTCTCTCTTTCACCTTCAGTTCATAGTCAGATTTCTTTAAAGAATAATCTCACATTTTTCCTTGAATTCCTTTGCCACTCATAATTGTGATGCCTCTTTAGTGCAGCTATTTTCTCAAATGCAATCAATTAACGCTTAAACCAGGTCCCTTTTCACAACAAAAACATTTTCTCAACATGTATCCGTGTTTTCTCTTTAATCTTTCTGTGGCCACCTGACCATCTCTAGAGCAAAATTTTCCCTTAGTTTCTATGACATTGAAATAATAGAATCCATGAATCTATCTTCACCCATCTTTTTGGTAGCGCTTTAGTGTCCCTTCTTCATCTAATAATTAACTTACTCATTAATTATTAAAATATTCAGGAACATTTTTAGAGCCTATTATCTGCCAAGCACTCAGTCAGGTGCTGGGGCTGTAACAGTTCAGAGGGTACGCATGGTCCTTGCCCTCTCAGACTGAGCAGGTTAGTGTAGAAAATATAAATGGCAATGAAAAATCAGTACGTTATTTTTCATCCTTATAATCACTTTATGTGGAGGGTACTATTTTTCACATTTTACAGAAGAGAATACTGAGAAACAGGGAAGTCATATAGCTCTAAGCTTTTGTCCTGAGTACTTTTGTTGCTTTCTATATTCTATCTCATAAACCTCACATTCTCCAATCAGTTGAACTCCATATACATGTCCAGAGCTCTAAAACACAAGAGCTAATACAGCTTCTAATGCAGAACCCATTTCCTTAGAGCAAAGCTTGAATTTCTAGCTGTATAAGGATCTCCACCTGAACATCTCCCACAGACCTTTGACTATAGCTGCCTAAAGAGAACTCATTATCTCACAACCTTTCCTAAACATTAAAATAAAACTTAACAACTGTAAGTTCCCTTCTTGGGTTCTCAACTCCTAATAATGTCATTATTTTTCTAGTTCTCCAGGGACAGAAAGTTAGAGATATCTTTAATAAATGTGTCTTCACATAATTGCTACATGTTGTTAGTTACATCTCAGCAATGTCTCTCTTTAAACATCCTTGTATTTCATTCTCCACAGCTGCTATCACTGTTCTCACCTTCATGATCTTTTACCTAGTGCTTCCACGGCCTCCTGAATGCTTTCTACAGCTCTGCTATTTTCTGGTTCTAGATCATCTTATCAACTTGTTATATCAGATTAATCTTTTTGGTACATTCCTGGTCATGGACATCCCCTGCTCAGCATTTCTGGAGTGAAATACAAATTGCCCAGGCTAGCAATTAGAACCCCACTTAACATCTTCCAAATCATTTCTTCTACCTTCCTCCATGCACTGTATGCTCTGGGTAGAAGGGTAGACTACTCCCTTCCTTTTTATCTCTGTCAGACAAAATCATATCATATTTTAAGTCCTCTGTCAAATGACCTCCCTTCAGTGAAGTATCTCTAGACTTCACTGCCTTTTGAACTTTGCTAATGTGTTTGGTGTTCTCTTCCAGCACCATAGTCTGCCTAATATGGCACTTATTGGTATGTTGTCAAATTTCTCCTTCAAAGCAGGAGCAGGTCCAGTTTTTTTCACTCCCAGGAAAGGCCTTTACCATAGTAAATTAGGCTTAGTAAGTACTTACTGAATTGAAATAGAAGGATGGGTGTTTGCATCCAGATGAAAACATGGAAAAAGAGAAAGGGTCAAACTAACTTATCAGTCATGCTAATTCAAAGCACAACAGATCTTTTGGTGCGTTGACTATATTTCTGTCTTTACTTTTTTGTTCTTGGCATTTGCTCTTTTTGTTTATCTGTGGGTTAAGTGATTTGGCTACTTGTTAAAGCACACTTGAATAGTGCTGCATGTCTGGAAAATTCAACGATGGCCTCCTGGGAGGAATAGACTGCCCCTTAGAGGATATTACTTACATTTTCTTTCTAAATGAGGGTGTGTTTGTGGAGTGGTCACTGTGGATTGTTTTTCAGAGCTTCTCTTGAGAATATGTAGAGCGGTGAATTACCAAAATCTTTCTACCCTGTTATCAGCATTAGTATTCATAATGATTTTATCAGGAGCAATTATTAATAACAATAATGAGAAGCTTGCCTGTAGGGTATTTTATCCTTTGGAACTGTGTTCATAAGTTATTTGGCCTCCATAGCATCATGAAACCCCATGAAAACAGGGCTTGTTTTGTTATTTCAGATTATCTTACAAATAATGGCTCAGCTGACATTAGAAAGCAGGTTTATTTTGTTCATTTGTGTTTTGTAACTCAAAATGTGGTTCTTGAATCAGCAGCCTCTGCCACACCATTAAAAATACAGAATATCAGGCCCCACTCCAGACTTATTGGATCGCAATCAGAACTGTAATAAAATCCCAAGGTTATTCCTGTGCAAAGTAAAGTTTGAGAAACACCCACTTTAGGTCCTAGAGCAGAGCAACAAAAGGTATTTCATCCCTAGGGTGCTGTAGTGTGTGCGCGCGTGTGCTTGTGTGAGAGAGAGGAGACAGACAGATAAGGGAACAGAAATCTCAGCAGGATATGGGTCCCTCCAGAGGGATTGGCATGTGGGATATGTGGATGTGGGACTCCCCTGTATACTTGCAGTAGCTTCACCAGATTTCGTTGCATCTGCTGTCTAAGATTATTGGGGTTAGCGTTATTTATAGTTAAATATGAGAGTTGAGAGTGTGGGGGAAGTTGTTGTCAGGTACTGCACCCAAACTGGGAGGATAAAGAAGCTAAGCACAAAAGGAAAGCCCGTTTTCGAGCCTCACTCAAAAAGCAGCTCACTCAAGCTCATTTCCAGTATCTCTAGTTTCTAGATGCATTTCGCCTCCCCGTGTTTCCCCTTAACACCCACGACCCAATCACTCCATTAAAGCTAGTTCCTCGCCTCTAGTCTCCAGGTTTCTTTTTTCCTTGTCATCAGTCTCCCTCTCTCCCGGCACCCTCAGGCCGCGGGCCCCTCCCTCCGCGTGGGCTCGCACCTCTCCCCAGCCTGGTGCACCTGGGCTGACGCGGGCTCGGGACTTGTGCGGAGCGCCGCGAGCGCGGCGGAGGCAGAGGAGCGCTGACTGCCACCTCCAGCCCGTGCGGGAGGGACAGCACGCGCTGCGCAACGGGGACCGTTCTCCTTGGCCGCGGCTCAGGGCTCGCGGCGACCACCGCCGTTGAAGCTGCGGGAGGGCAGCCGTGAGTCTCCCGGGACAGCCAGCCCCGGCGGCTGCTCCTCCCGGATGCCAGGGCCAGGGCGCCGGGCGGCCGCCAGCAGGAGAATGAAGAGCTCGGTGGGAGGAAGGAGAGAAAAGCTCCTGGGGGCGCCGAAAGCTCAGCACAGCCGCGGTAAGTTGAGCGCAAAAAGATGTGTCTCGGTTCAGGTGGCGGAGTTGGTTGGGGCGGGGGGCAAAGAGCTAGGGTTGCGCCTCTGTGGGATACCAGGCGCTAGGGGCTGGGGCTCACATGGGGGGCACGGAATGGACATTCGCACCGCCCAGACCTTGGACCACCTCTCCGGTATCCCGCACCATCGGTCCACACCCCCTGCCTCTTCTCGGTGCCACCGAGAGGAGATGTGAGGTTGCGGGGCCAGAGTGAAGAGCGCGGAGCTTGAGGGTCTCAGGTCACAGCTCACTGCTGAGAACCAAGGGGCAGGGGAGGCCGAGGCTGGGGGGCGAGGTCAGCCTGGTTCTGACCAGAGTCGAGGGCTGGGCCACCAGAGAAGGACGTCCTGCTGTCTGTCTCCTATTGGGTGTATGCGAGGCGTGCTCCCTCCTCGGGGGAAACCTGGCGAAGTTGTTGGGATAAAGAAACACAGCGGGACAGCTTCCTGTTTCCTTTTCGTTTCCTTTCTTCTTCTTTTTTTCTTTTCTTTTCTTTTCTTTTTTTTTTTTTTTTTTTTTTTGAATACTTAAAAAAAAAGAGAGAGAGAGAGATGCACGCGTTTTGAGGGCAGGATAAGAAGCTATTGAGTTATATGAAGCCTCTCTCCAAGGAAATCACTTTGACATTTAGGGTGGGGTTGGGAGGCTGAGTGTAAGCCAGAGCTCCTGAATCTGATCGTCTTCTTGGCCATCTAGTGCCTCTTTTTACGCTTCCATTGGGTACCTGGAGGACCAAATTAGAAGAAAGCACAGGGTTGTGTACCTTTTGACCTCTTGCATCTTGGGAGGCGTTTTATTGTGCGTATGAATTTGGGTCACAGGACACCTGCAGCCTCCAAAATGGTGTCACCCTGTGTGAAATGCCCAATTCCAGATTAGTCCTCCTTACAGTCAGGCTTGTCCACCTCATGTGCTTCTGGAGATTGTGTTGATGGGTGGTTTAGCCCAAGCTGGTCTGTGATTTCAAACGACTGATGCGTGGTTCCTGGGCATTGGAGTGTCTTCAATTCTGGAACCTTGAACTGACGGAGAAGAACATCTGACATTCTGTAGGTGTAACTAAGGACCCTAGAGCTGGCGCTGTTCTATGCTAATCTTGCGGTGTTCCCGGAATGTGATGGGGAAATGGTCTGTGTTCTGCTGAGTCTATTTGCTAGCTGGTCTGTTAAATGTGCCTTTCAGGTGACCACTGAATTCTGGTTCACGATGTTTTCTAAAACCGACTGGAAAGGTCTCCCTCCTTCTGGGTTGTTGTGCCACTCGTTGGCCTATGCTGGGTAATTCAGTCACACTACTCTGGTCTCTAAGCATGAAAGGCAAATATGGGTCATTTCAAATTATGTAGATTGATGCAACACAGCATGTGCAGGGTTTGCTGCAATTTCTTCACATTTCTTTCCAGATGTTTTTTAGAAATTAACTTGAGCACTCTCTTCATGGAGCTAAAATGTAGACTGGGAGAATGGGCAAACATCCTGAGTTAATGTATTATCTCAGATTTAAGGAAATGAAGTGCTGGAAGTTGTCTGTGTTAGGAGAAAGAGACCTGAGCTAAAAATCAGGGCTTCTGAATTATTTTTGCTCTACGACAATGTGACTGAGGAATCTTTGGGGTTACTTAATAATACTAGTAATACCTAAAATGTGTTTCCCATTCACTGAACACGAAACTCTACAGCTACAGTAAATGCATAACAATCCCAAGAAGGTGGCGTTGTTACCATCTCCATTCTGTAGACAAGGAAAAGGAGATTTATAGATGTTAAATTGGGAAAAGTCCCAGAGTTAGTGTTTTCGTAATCCAAGATTGCAGAACTCCAAAGTCAGTTGTTAACCCCTACACAACCTCTTTGAGCCCTACTTGAAAAATGAGAGTAATATACCTCTCTAAGTTTAAATTCCATGAAAAATTCATACAGTGATGGTAATATCATAGATTGATTCATACCCAACCATTTCAGGTATTTAATATAACAGAATGCAGAATTTGAGACGTGAAATCAAATAAAAATTGTGTGGCACTTATATAATTCAGCCTGCCAGTTCTAGAGAGGGCAGAACACTGAGATCTTAGTGTTCATCTTGAATGACGCTCTTTGAGTCCTGTTATTGCAAATCAATAGTGCTGTATTATAGCCCTTGTCTTAACAATGTGTGATTTATAACATCAAACACGTCTGGTGCTAACATCGTATTTGTATGACTATAGAGTTATCCTGAGGTCTACATGAACACTTTCATATTTCAGCCAGCTTATAATTAAAGCTCAGATCCTGACAGGATTTTAAATTTCCATTAAGAGGTACAAGCAGCTTGTTTTAAAATTTCCTTTTTATTTTCAACAGTATTTTCAAAACAATTACTCCCCCTGCTGTGATTTGCTATTTACCAGGTGCATCGAAAGTTCAATAATGCAAATGTTTGCAATTCAAGAAAACATAGTGTTTCATCTATAGTAACAAAGATTAGATGAGTCACATCTAACTTAGGGTTTTGGTTTTTTTTGAAATTTAATTAAAATGTTGCATTTCTCATTGCCAAGTGTATGCAGGTAGCTGAGTATACAGCATCCATTATTTTCTTGTAATCTCCAACTTCATAAACTCATTACTTATGAGTTCTTCAGCTACTTATGAGTTCTTCAGCTACTACGTTAGTACCTGTCTATAACGATTTTGAGGTTTTAAAAGTAGGAGTAAGAACAAATAAGATAACGTTGTCATGTTTCTTCACTAACTATATACTTTATTTTGAGAGTGATGATATATTTTAAGTCACAGATCTTATTCATACATGAATGGAATTATCAAATAAAAGTTGTATAAACCCATTGGGATGCTAATGCTATTAATATTCCAAATTTGTGAGAAGTTTTGGAAAATAGAAAATCTTTGAGAAATTGAAGATAACTTACTATGTTTCATTGTATTTGCATGGTACCTTACTGTTTTCAAATAAATCTGCATGTCTCATAGTAACTTGCCTAGAGATTATTTTTTGGCAGTAGGTAAGGAGGTTTCTATAGTAGCTAACATATTTAACCTTAGAACAGTATTAAAGTAATGAAAGTAATTATGAACTTGAATCGTCAAACTGCAAAATGTTTTACGACAATGGGAGTCTTATAAATGGTTAGCTTTATAATCACACGTATGTATTTTCTACTGTTTTAAAAATGTTTTTTTCATAGTCACACAAGAGTAATATTTTATTTGATATTATTTGGCGATTTGAACAACCAGATCTCTGAAAGGTAATTTAAGCTCCATAAACATGAGTCACACTGACATCCCAGATTGCAGAAACTAATATTGGAAAAGGATCTGTAATTTTGAATGTTTCAAGAGCTTGGAACTCAAGGTGGATGGTACTTCTTAGTTTTCTGACAAGGACTCTAAAGTGAGAGATTGAATAAAATAAAGCCGGTGAGTTGAAAATCAAGCAAGTGCTTAAATTGCCACTTAGGAAGCTGAGATCAGCTTCTGTAGATTACACACCCAAAAACTGCCAGTGTAATTTATGTTTCGAACAAGTAGATGACACACTGGAGATCATTTAAAACATTCTAGTACATTAAAAATGTATTTATTTCTACTTTTTTAGAGCCTGATAAAACTAGTGATGTCTTCTTGCTATGGATTGAATGTTTATATCTCCCGCAAATTCATATTGTGAAGCCCTAACCCTTAATGGGATAGTATTTAAGGTGATGCCTTTGAGAAGTGATTTGGGTTAGATGAGGTTATAAGGGTAGAGCCCTCATAATGGGATTAGTGCTTTTATAAGATGAGGAAGAGATGAGGACCCTCTCTTTCTCATGTGAAGATGCAGCAAGAAGATAGCCATCTGCAGACCAGGAAGAGGCCCCACCCCATTCATTGAATCTGCTGGTACCTAGATTCTGGTCTTCACAGCCTCCAGAACTGTGAGAAATAAATGTTTGTTGTTTAGCCACCTAGTTCATAGTATTTTGTTGTAGCAGCCCATACTGATTAAGACAACCCCCATTTTGGAGTAACTCATGATTAACATAAAAAAATTGCAATTAGAGAAAGTTGAAGGACAGCCAGGGGCAGAGAGTAATCAAATTATTTTACAAGGCCTTTATCCTATTATAAATGTGCTTTTAATCATATTCAGATAATTCTGTACTACTTCTAGTAGTTTGCGTAGATTGGGATATGTCTCAAAGAGTATCTTATTCCTAACCTCCTGATAAATCAGTCGAGTATACTAGAACATGGTTTTAGAATAGGATAAAGACCTTCAGATTGCTCAATTACTTTATTTATTTACCTATAATATCATCCTACCTTATGTTTAATTTTTTTGCCTTATTTGCAAACAGAGGGACAGTTCTCTTTATTTATGGAATTATATCTACCAAAACAAGCCAGCATGTAGCATTTCAAAACAGGTATTTTTAGTGAGAAGTTTTCAGTAAGAGAGTTTTCATTTTCCTTCCTTGTAGTTATGCAGCCCATCTTTCAGGAAACAGTACTGATCCTGATGTGCCTTGATTAGTCATTAGACCTATTTGTCCCCATGAGAATAAAATACATTATTATGCCACAGTGTTAGGCAGCTCCATCTGAGGATTTTCCTGAGAGTCTCTCATAACATGAGGTCAGATGTTCCCTGTTAACTTTTTTTGTTACCTTATGTGTTCTGATTTTATTACTAAAAAGTTATTCCCTGCAATTTTTATGATAGAAGAGATTATTAGAGACTTCTTTTTCCTTTGCTTCTCCAACAATCTCCCAACTATCCTCAACTGAAATGAGAGAAAAAAAGAATGAAATGTATCTTTTCTTTCAGGTGATCCTTAAACAAAAGAATAACACAGGAAACTCCAGAAGGCATTCTGAAAAAAATCTAGATTTTAAAATTGTATTTAGTTACGTACAACTTCCAGAAGTTAGCAGTCTCAGTTTCCTAACGTCATCCAAATCACCTGGAATT